ATAACAATTTTCATAAACTTCATCGAGATGCCACCATAAAAACTAACGCGGACACGCTTGGCGTGTCGGCAGCACTGGAGGATAGATATATTTTTTTAAACATTTATTACTCTGCATCAGGAAAATAGCAATAATCTGTTCTAAAAAGACATTGCCGAACGACAAAACAACAAAATGTCAAATTTATTATGTCAAATTGTCAAATTTATTATTTTTTGGAATGTTTTTCGCTTTTTCGAAATGATACCTACTCCTTAAGACAAAACCTATGTCGATCTATTCATCGACTCCAAATCTATTATTGCGTCATCTTTAGTTTTTTCTAATTCGCCAGACATTTTCGTGGCCACATCTTCTTACAATACAGCTAATCTATTGTTATAGACTCCAGATTGAAGAAACCCATGCCTCACGTAAATATTAGAGCGTGGGTTGTTGTCAGGAGATGTTACTCGATAATTCCTTAATGAATGTACACCAACACGCCTTTAACATGCGAATTTTTGGAAGATTTTTTAGAATTTTTTGAAGTTTTGGAATCTTTGTAGCAGTAAATTTAGCTGATTATTTGTTTTTCTAAGAATTAATGCATTCAAATTGAATTCGATTTTAATGTATTGCTAATGTGTTGCATTAAAACATTTATTGTAATGGTTTTGGATTTTTAATCCAAAATGTAGACGATTCAGATATATAGACGAATAGAGAGCGGATCTTCCACTTAAAATTTACTATTTATTTGTCAATGAAATTTGAATCTAAGATATACTTACTATCTGTTATTTTTATCTGAGGTTATAATGTTTTTCAAATGCTTAATGGACTTCCAGGTAAATTTCTAAGAAATTAATTAAATTTCTAAGAAATCTATTGTTTATAACGCCCGCGCCGGCGTGTCCGCGGTCGTGGAGGTATTAAAGATACTTAATTTGAAGGCTTATTTCAGGTCTGTTTCACATTTTAAGTGTAAAGTTTAACTTTGTTTTTATTTATGATTAGCATTGCCCGCGGCTCCGCTCGCGTTCAGATAACCAAAAACCAAATTCTTAGGTTTTACATATTAGCATACTCTTACAATGAAGTTTTTGTATTTTTTCTCAAAAATGAGATATTTTCCCGCGGTAAAAAGTATTCTATATGTTGACCCGGATAACCAGCTAACATTATACTAAATTTCATCTAAATCTGTCCAGTGGTTTTCTCGTGATGCGGTAACAGACAGACAGACAGACAGAAATTCTAAAAACTATAGATTCGGACTCTGTATCGATAATAATGTCTATTTCAATTAGATTTTCCAAAAAGTATTTAATGTACAGATTCGACTTAGTTACAATTTTATTATATGTATAGAAAACCTAATAGCCTACCTATAACTACTAACTAGTTATAGCATTCGAACGTTTAAATTTAGGACACCATGAAAATTGCAACTTAGTAAATTCTCAGTATAATTTTCGCAGTAAACAGCGCTCGCTATTCAAGCATGAACACAATATTTCTTACATTATGCTATTTAAAATATTTTGGTCATACGTTGCTCAGTTTCAGAGGGCTTTTTATTTAGAGTAAAAGTAAACACTTCGCATTTGTTGACCGACTTAAGAAGGTACTCCATTTGTCTTTCATTTTTTTTTGCGGATGCCTCTCTCGATGACTTCGCCAATAGTGGATTATTGTTTTTTTTTAAAGATTTATAGTACTTTTAAATGATTTATTTTGTCTGTTTTTTTTGTTTAAATTGAACTGAATTCATTGACTTTCGGTTATAATTTTTTTTTTGATTTAATTTTTTTCATTTTCCGACCTGAATGTTTTTTACTAAGAGTAAGAGTCTAAGTAAAAGTTATGTTACTCAGGTATACCATAAGCTTCTTTGACCAGGTTTAAAAAAAGGCAGGCACTCAATTCGAATGTAAGTTTTTTATGTACCTATGTTACGCATTTCCTTACTAGTTGTAAATCGATTTTAATGAATAGATGGTACTCAAGGGTTGTCCCAATATAGATATAATCACATAAATATGTATGTAAATTGATATTAAATACCATCCAAGGTGTTAAATTTCTCACCTTTTTAAATTAATTTTAAATATTTACATGTAATAGTAAAGACGCGGGCGGGTAACTAGTTAAAAATTAAATTAGAAATTTTTGTTATCTTAAATGTGTCTTAACATCTCCAGGTAAATTTCTAAGAAATGAATTAAAATTCTAAAAAATCTATTGTTAACTGACACGCCGGCGTGTCCTCGGTTGTGGAGGGATTAAATATTTATACATATATCTAATAAAATTCTGAGTCGAATCTGTACATTAAATATTTCTTGGAAAATCTTATTGAAATAGTTATTATGATTGATACAGAGGCTCAATTTATAGTTTTTAGAATTTTTGTCTGTCTGTCTGTCTCTGTCTGTGAACCAAAAACCCTGGAACCACTGGACAGATTTTGATGAAATTTGGTATGACGATAGCTAGTTATTCGGATCAACATATAGGATACTTTTTACTGCGGGAAAATGTCTCATTTCTGAGAAATCTATACTAACCGTTAAAACGTAAAAATAAATTCTAAATAAAAGGTTAGTGCGCTATTAAAATATGCATAAACTTTAATACAGTTTACGAAAACATCGTCTCAAAAGATTTTATACAGCGTGACCTAGTCAGTGGGACGTTTTTAACTGAATTACTCCCGCATCTGAAATTCTCGACAGGTATTATCAGTGAGATGAAATTTTTATTAGAAATTTTTACTTTATGTATTACCGCAGTGACGGTGTTGTTTTTGCCGATATGCCGTTGGTAATGTCTGAAAAGGACTGAATTGTTAAAAGATATTATTAAGGATGTTAAACTATTAGAGTTCTATATATTTATTATATACATTTTTTTGCTATGATTTGATAGAAGAGATTTTGGCTTAAAATTTGAAGCATTCTGGTTGGACGTAGTTATGCAAAATAGATCCAACCGCAAAAACTTATCTCAGAAAATAGGAGTTTAAGTAAAATTAGTATATCAAAATAACAAGACCGTATTTTTTTTTAAATTCCTCTTAAATATTGGGTATTTTATTTACTTTCTGTATATAAGTTGATATATATTATGTAGGTGCCATTTATGACATTAACTCAAAAAACGGTTTTCGTGGGCTGGATCCATTTTGCATAAATACGTCCAGTTATAGTTGAGTTGTGCTACAAGGCATTCAATTTTTAGATTGAATATGTTATTCCATGTGTCTATTTTAATGCAAACATTATGTATACAGATAAATAAAATTAAAGTGTCTGTTTTTAATATCAAAATAACGGTTTTTGACTAAATACATATAAAAGTATATACGGTACTTATAACAAAAAAAAAATTTTAAACTTTTTGTCTGTCTGTTTACGGCTAATCTCCAAACGACTGTACCTATTTTGACGAGACCCACTGGCAGGTAGCTGATGTTATAAGGTGTAACCATGAACGAATATGGGTGTAACTTAGGCTACTTTTATTCGAAAATTCTTTTTCTTAAATAAAAGTAGCCTATGTTACTCTCTATAACGTCAGCTATCTTTCAGTGAAAGTCCCGTCAAAATCAGTCAAGCCGTTTCAGAGATTATCCGGAACAAACAGACAGAAATTTTAAAAAATGTGTTTTTCTTATAAGTACCGTATAAAATTTCGTATGCATTTAGTAAAACGCTGTTATTATGACATTACAAACAGACACTTCAATTTATTTATCTATATAGATGTGATGCTTGTTTATTGATAGTTCGACGTGTTTATTAAAGTGGTAAAGCAAACACGTCGTCCTGTTTACCTAAGATCACTTTGATGTTAAAATTAGTTTGTATAAACATAAACAGTGTTAAATTTAAAATATAATTAGGACAGACAGAACATACGACAGTTATGGCGCACTCTCCGCAGGGGTGTTGCAGTGAGTGCGAAAGCGATCCTGCACGCCCCATTGCACTGCGGCGAAGGGTTCCGCTGTGGGTTTTAGTGAGTAGGAGTCTCACAATACCCTGCACATGACGGCGGCAGGGTCCCCATGATGGGTTTCCCAGCGAAAACAAAAAAAAAATAGTTATGGCGCACTTTGTAATGTGCTTCTGACAGACTTTACCTATTGTTTCGGAGTTTGCAATATTGTTAACTAAATCTTGAGCAACGTCTTTAAATGTAACAGTAAAATTTAGACACAATAAGTTTTGATAATAAATTGCTTGTTTTAATAATTATTTTTAATACTAGCAGAACCCGCGGCTTTGCTTGCGCTAAAACTCCAAAAAATCTCTAAAGGAGATGAAAGTTTGTATGAAACTACTTAGTTTCATACAAACTTTCATCTCCTATTTACCCCCTTATGGGATGAATTTCGAAAAATCCTAAAACACGTATTTATTTAATTTTATTAAAGAGCATTAATACGAAATTTCAAGTAGTTATGATCATAAATATTTTTTTTGTATTGTATTATAAAGTGTTTTCCCGTGGGAATCAGTTAATCTCCCGCGGTAAAAATAGCCTATGTCATTCTCCAACCCTCCAACTATCTCCACACAAAAAATCACGCCAATCTGTCACTCCGTTTCGACGTAAAAGAAGGACAAACAAACAAACACTTTCACATTTATAATATTAGTATGGATTTCAAATGAGTTATTGTTGGAAAATACTTTTCAAGATCGAATTTAGGAAAGACGATATAGGGACGTCTCCTTTATGAACTTATACATACGAGTATGTAGTTAGTTGGCAATGTCCGTGAATTTCTTTATTGGGATTGTGTTCCAAATCTTGGCGGCGGTCTAGACCTTGTTATAGTTTGTCGCTACAACAGCTATTGTTATAATATTATACTTCTACAGTTTTTGGGTCTACTAACTGGTATGTCTCGATACGTAGAAAATGAAAAAATAAAATGATTTTATTTTAAAGCGGGTTACGTTTAAAAAGGTAGGTTTTAATTACGGCTACTTATAATTTTTTTTCAGAAATTTTGGGGTCCCCAAATAGATCCAAGGCTAGCACAATATCTCACGAACTTTTTATTCGGCTCCGGCCAGCAAAAGGCAGCTGCGGTGGATTTTAACCGATTTGCGGAGTTATACGTCTTCAATGTTCGAGGTAAGGACCATGTAATTTTTTTTTTATATTATTTATTATTGCGAGACGGACTTGTTAGCCCGGATATGTTAACCCGGATATGTTAGTCCGGTTTTGTTAGCCTGGATATGTTAACGTGGATACTTTGGCACGGATATATTAGCAAAATAATTTCATAGTGTAAATTGGCTTAAAAATGCTATCGCTGCGAGGGGTACATATGGTTGTTTCAATATTAAAATTAATTTAAATTTATTCATAATCTTTACTAATAAATTAAGCTGAAGGATATGTTTTTTTTATTTGATCGTCCTAATCTATGGAGCTACCGGTGCGATTTGGAAAATTCTTATTGTATGTTGAAGAATATTTATCGAACGAGGTTATAGAAGGAAGGAAGGAAACGTAACAATTATACGTAAATAAACTATGCGATAACGCCCACATTCTTGTTTCTATGTATGGATTAACTAGCGACTCGGCCTCGCTTTGCTCGGGTTCATACCTTGGTACGTTTTGACGGTTAGTATGGAATAGATAATCGATCGCTTGCTCTGTGAAAAACAAAAACAAATCTATCCCATGAAAACCGCACATTGTTCCGGGATAAAAAGTAACATGTGTGCTACTCCAGCCTATAAACTATATCTGTGCCGAATTTCATCTAGATACGTTCAGCCGTTCTGGCGTGATTGAGTAACAAACATCCATCCAAACTGTCGCATTTATAATATTAATGGGATTCTCCAAAGAAGTACATACGAGTATATGCTAATATTTCTTGCCTATTTTAGGAACAGTAGAGGAAAGAATGATGGTCACATACAACTGCCTTGGTATGGATTATAACGAAGACGTTGAACTGCCTTATCAACTTCTAAAAGAGGTTTGTTAAAAATGTCGATTAAAAGTTCTAAATACACAATCAGCGACAATAAATGTTCTTACCGATAAGCGCTCATTTGAAAATTTGAGAGCTCTTTAATTTTTTTTATGTGAAAACAACTTTAAGCGTTGCATTTAAGGCTCAATTTACATTGTTGCATATTTATTTCAACTAATTGGTTATAACTTTTAAGAGAACTTTGGCATGGAATTGTGTATCTATTTTTTTGATTAATGGTTAAAAAGACATAATATTTATATATTTTAGCCCTTAAATATATCTGGTACAGTTTTATAGTTTGTCATTGAAGATCCTTCAATCAAATTGAATTGAATTGAAATAACATATTATATTCATAAACATTTTTTTTATTTATATGAAAAAAAAAAACACTAACGTATGTTAAAAGTATAAAACCTTTACAGTACTGCGAAAGTATAGTTTCAACATACATAAAGATAGTGAAATCCTCATCAAGTAAAAGGGCTCGGACGTGGATAAAAAAGGGGTTCAGGGCCAGTGCCTCCCACGTGCAGGCCCTGGGGGAAGCCGTGGCGGCCAGCGTGGGGGGAGACCTGGACTCTCCCCAGCACCACTGCACTGCTGCACAACTGTCCAAATGGTGAGTCAGGGTGTTGTTCGGAAGAGTATCTTCTAACACACGTGTTATTGTAAGATATCGTTTTATTGTTAGTTTACATTTTCTTGCATTTTACCGAGATTTGCCGCTTTCAACTCAAAAGAATAACTGAGAAATCTATTTAAGTATAAGAAGAAGAAGGAATTAAAGTCGGATCAGTTGTTCTAAAATTCATCCACATCTAAACTTGCAAATGTAACAACCCCTTTACCCTATTAGCTTATAATAATAATTTAACCCTTCTAGCTTCTCACTAAATATCAGAGCGAGACCCGGGATTTGAACCTGCTTTACTCGGTTTCCCAAGTGAGCTGCTCTGGACTGACTCTAACAATACCATTAGGCTACCTCTGATTCTTTACATGTGCGAATTTCCGATGTGATTACCACTTGCTTTACGGTGAAGGAAAATATCGTGAGGAAACCTGCATGTTTGAGAGAAATCTGTAAGTTTTTGAAAGACATGTGCAGTCCGCCTGCACTTGGCCAGCATGGTGGACTATGACCTGATCCCCCTCGTATTGAAGGGAGGCCCGTGCCCAGCAGTGGGACGTTGAAAAGGGCTGAATACAACTTCTCACTACTGAACTCATACCTCCTCTACGAAAGAGATTAAGCCGTAGTCCACCACTCCACGATATTTATCCCCACAATAAATATATTCTGAAAAAATATACATTTCCTTCATATTTCAGGCTTCAATCAAACATCTTACTAAAACAAGTAGCAGAGCTAGTGTATGTCAACTTATATGGTATCAACAAGAAAGCAGGAGATGAGAGTCCTACGCCTTTGCCACCAGCCGCACCATCTTTACTGCCAGGATCTGATGGTAAGTCTAATGGCGTGTCTACACGTTTGCCGTGCCTCGACAAGCCATTACTAATACTTTCTTAAATTAAATAATTTTATCACATTCAGTTATAAAACTTATTAATTTCTTTAATAATGTTTCGAATTAAAATTAATAAATATTGTAAGGTACTTTGGTGCCATTTATTGTATTTATCAATTAATATAGTAAATTTGTGGGTAGGCACTGCCTGTAACAACTATATGATGATCTTTGAAACGTCGATAACCTTAGTCTCTCCCGTGATCATGATTGCTGTAAAGCATTCGAAACGTCGGAAGCCAAAAATCAAAATAAATCGAAAAAATCCGAAAAGATAGTTTTATTTAAAAAGCTATGACTAATTCAAAGTAAATTCATAATAAATGTGTATTTAATACCAATTGAATTGATATTTAAAAGTCAATAATTCTATATAAAAAAATCTTTCTGTAAATTTGTCGTTTGGACAAATAAGTATGATGATGACGATTAGCCATCACGGTCGAAAACAGCCAGGACGACATTATTATCAATTCTTGATTTACTTATCTAGAGTCTAGACCGTAGACGTAGAGAATGCACTAAGCAATACTTGTAGAAGTTGAGAAAGAGAGAAAGCGAACGTGCGCCCAATACCCGTCCTTTATTCCAATTTCAATTTATAAATGGAATTTAAAAAATTATAATACATATTTTTGAAAATTATAATATTATAATGGTATGGAAAATGGTTATAAATGTCTATCTTCATTAATTTCTATCTTCAACTTCTGGCCTCACATTCGTTTTGTCTCTGTCGCGCCTTTCCGCCATTTTTAGCTGACGCAATAAAACACTCAGTCCACTCTCTATGTCTTTCGTCTAGATCTATATAATATTTGTGCTAACTTTTGTCTAGGTCTAGACCCGATGCCAGACTATCCAGCCTTCATCGACATGTCCCACATAGTATGGATAAATGCTCACTTGCCACAGAAATACCAACACAAGTGGAGGTTTCTCTTCTCCACTCACATACATGGCGAGTCCTTCTCTACTATGACTGGTGAGTTATTTTTAAAGTTATTACCCAAGTATTATATATAAAAATCAGCTTTTATACTATAACGTAAGTAGAATTATGATTTTATGAAAAGGGTGTCTGGCAAGGGTTTGCCACGATGTTAAGTGTCTGGCATTGAATGACGTGATTGTTAATAATATTATGAAGGTAATACCAAAAAATCACACTTTATTATTTGACGAATTTAGATCGGTATTTTACACACCTTTAGTATCGTATACCTGCCAAAGCCACCATAGCCCGAACTTCATAATGGTCCATCGTTCTTATCTGTGTTGGGAGCATGCGCTGATAATTTTCAGCTTTTATAAAATAACGAAGGTATGGCGTTCACAGGCTCTTAGGCCAACAGAACATAAGTTGATTAGTCAAATATAAGATAACTTGTATGTAACAAATAGGCAAGTCAAATCTTAAACTTCAATTTGTTCTAAGTAATCTGTTTTGTGTAAATAATGCGACTGTTCAAGAAGTTATATTTTTAAATAGCAAACGTTGTTGTAGCAGAAAATACAAGGAGTTGTGTTTTAAATTTATTTTAGAATGTTGTATGTTCTTAAAATTAAATTTCAGGAATATATTCAGGATCAACAGAACTTGGCATCCATTTAAATCTCAATCCTTTTGAAGTTGACAATTGGGCACACGCATATTCTTAATATTGAACGTGGCTCTTATTTTCACATTTATGTTTTTGATCGGATGTTTTCTGCTTTATGCGTCGTATAAAGAAATTAATAATTCCAGGACGCATAATAGAACAAGGACCATCAATCATCATCGTGGAGGACTCCAGCGGGTACATCTTCGGCGGCTTCGCCCCCTGCTCGTGGGGCTTCGGGCCCAACTTCACGGGTACCGACGAGGCCTTCCTCTTTACGTGCGTGCCCAAGATGAGAGTGTACCCGGCGACCAATTACAACGACCATTATCAGTATATGAACCATCATACTAAGACTTTGCCTAATGGATTGGTAAGATGATAACATGCTTTTTTTATATAATATTACTAGCGACTCACTCTCACTTCGCTAGTGCGCTAGTGTTCGTCTCTAGGTTGATTCCCCATACAAACTTTCATCCCCATTTTTACCCCCTTAAGGGGTGATTTTCGAAACTAAAAATATCCTATATCCTACCCAAGGTCTCAAACTATATTTTACTACAAAATTTCATCTAAATCGGTTCAGTAGTTTCGAAACCTAAACGATACAAACAAACAAAAAAACAATTTTTTCCTCTTTATAATATTAGAATAGATGTGGAGGAAAATTAAAAAAAATACATGATAGATAAAAAAAAACTATTATTTTAGATTTACGCGAATATTTGACATTTTTAGTTCACATTTTTTTCAATTTTATTTTGGTTTATAAATATGATTATATTTTAAATTTAAATAATCTACTACAAGTGAGCAACACATTCAGAAGACACAAAACAAAAACTTACTTAAAATGTTTATTTAAACAATACTTAAAATTACAATAAATATGTCTAATATAAAAACTCTTTATATGTAAAAAGTCGATGTAAAAATCAGAATTAATTCTAAAAAAATATTTTAGTATTAAAGTAAACTCGAACAAACAAAAGTATAGGGTTACATTATGACTGTTAGGTCAGCTCTTCACCTATATCTATGCGCTATATCTCACCAGTAAATATGGAACACAAATTAAAAAAAAAAATAACCCCCACATCACAGCTAATGGGGGGTCAGTTTCATTTCGGTGGTATCTGGGTGAACGCGGAGCCCTTCGGCGAGGGGGCTTCAGCGGAGTCCTGCAGCACGTTCAAGGGGTACCGGCGCCTAAGCAAGGACCCCACCTTCAGGATCAGGAGTCTGGAGGTGTGGGGGGTGGGGGATAAGCCTCTCATCGATAAGGATTCGGTAAGTTGTATGAGATGGATATGTCTGTGGGTGAAGTATGGATACAGTACTATGTTAGGACTTCTTCGCTGACACTGACGTTTACATTAAATTGACGATTCAAAAACACTTGTAATAGGTCTAATTAAATAAAAAAAAATCATTTTAGAATTCGGATTCAGGGTTCTTTAAGAGTGATACTTTGATTTACGCGAATATTTGACATTTTAAATAAAAATACCTTATCGGATTTTTTTGCGGATTTGTTTTGATTTTTGGTTCCCTTTGGTTTTGGTTAGCGGAACCAAAAATCAAAATAAATTCGCGAGAATACCTGAAAAGATAGTTTTTCTTTATGTGTTTAGTGTAGGGGATCTGTCTGTATATCTATTACGTTGAAACGTTGAGCAAATTTCTATCAAAATGACATTGCATCATGGTGACGGACATAGGTTAGATGGCTAGCTTTTATCTCCGTGCCGCTTACCAAGCGATAGAAGCCGCTGGCAGAAACTAGCTATAGTAGGATAGTACGAAATGAAAAAATATATATTTACTCTAATTCGATCATAAGCTTTAACTGTATCCTTATTTATATGACCCATAAAATTAGCTTTAAATCCCAGGATCATCTCATCAATCCTATCCTATTTTGATCCCAATAATTATCCTAGCTATCCTATCCTCAGATCCAAACAATGTCCCACAACAGCTCTGTTCTAGAAGCGCGTAAATCGGAACGTGCGTTTTTGATACTTGCGACGAAACAGCAAATTAGTGAAGGATTGACAGAAAACGTAACGGCGGATCTATAGGTTATGTGTTTGTAGCTTTTTGTATGATTGTTTGTAGAAAAATTATTATCTTTTTTACTGTAATTATTTAGAATAAATGAAATTGTCTGTGCCTTATAATACGAATGAACTTTAAATATCCAAACTTCATATATTATTTAACTTTGACCTCAAAGGTACTCAATCCGACTTCAAAATAGTTCCACCACTAATGGTGGATGAGTTTTTTTAAGATCTTTACGGCACTATCTATCTCTAAACTATCTACCTATATATTAAAAGAAATAGCTGTAAAACTCGATTTGCAATTATGGTGAAGATACCGTGTAACATATTATCCAAAAACCCCTGCAATTGATTTGTGTACCATTTCTTCTTTGAAGTCGGTCATAATGTCTTGACTCGACCCGGCACTCGAACCTAGTATCGATCTGCAACCATAAATACTAGAAACGAAACAATCAAATCGGTGATAACTGGTAGAAGATGGCCAATATAAAAATATCTTTACTTTGACGATTTTGTTTTCCATATAATATATCTATGTGTGTATGTATGTTTCCTATGGACTCCCAAACGGCTGGAGCGATTTTGTTGGAATTTTCAGGGAACCTTCAGATTAGTCCAGCGGATGATTCTATGAAGTTTGGCAGCGATCGAAAGTTTGAACGTGGGTAAAGCCGCGGGTACTGATAGTTATCTATATAGAGTGATAATAAGTGTGTCTAATACGCTTCATAAATCCTCTTGCAGGATGAACGTGATACGAGTATTTTGGACACAAACCCAGAGGCCAAAGCGATATTGGACATGGCGGGCCGCACGCGTCACAGCGAAGGCATTCGGGAACCGCCGCCCTTATAATGTGAGCTTTCGTTGTGTTATTTTACAGTTTAATTCAATTATCTTGTTAATGACTTCAAAGCGTGTCAGTTCAGCACAGATTATTTTGCCAATGTAATGTAGAATAAATAAATTTGTTGGGATATTAAAACACAGCACCATCTAGTTACATGGTAAGCTTCGAGGCTTGTGTTATGGATACCAGATAGTTGATACACTACACATATATAACTTTATATACATTAAGGCGGGGGAAGGTTTTGTTGGGTTTTAGTGGGTAGTTACTGGCTTTTCGAGCGCGTGAGTTCCACATAACCACCTGTATGTCTACAGGTGGTATGCGTAAATGCATTTCCCAACATTAAGAAAAAATAAAGGCCACTAATATAATATAGACATTTGCCATTTTTTAGAGTCTATATATATAAAAATGAATGTTTGTATGTTTGTCCTCTTTGTGTTACCAAACTATTAATCCGATTGCGATGAAACTGGTGGGTTATTCTGTATACGTTTGCGAAAGCTCCTGGACTAAAAAAAATAATTTTCTCTCAGACTTTTGTCTTTCAGCACTCAAGCTAGTATAAATTATATATCGTTCGTAAATTAAAAAAGAATGGAAAATATCATGGCAGTGTTTATATATTGAAAAGCATATTGTAAATCACTATTAAAAGGTGGGATAGTTATTATTTTGGTTGCTATGAAATCGGTTTAATTTCCACACAATGTGATCACCACCGTATATTATGGTATTGAGTAAAAGTATTAACAATATACATATTAATAACAATATACATATTAATGACGGCTTTACGTGCTCTGCTTCGGCATGGGTGTGACACATCTTCAACTTCCCGACTCCGGGCTGTCACTGAGAATATCTGAACAGAAAACCTCAATAATTAAATTCGATCCGACCCGGGATCGAACCCAGGATTTCCGGATCTGCAGTAGATCCTAGCCACTAGACCACCGAGACAGTTGATATAAAACCTTACCTACGTATTTTATTAAATTTTCAGGCATCTTCAATAGAAACTCCATATCGCAATACAAAAGCAACATACAAGTGTTCTTACAACCGCCCACTCAAGGCTCTATACTATGTACAATTTACACTTTACACGTCTCTTCCAACTCACTAGTCAGTCGATGTTATTTATATATTTAGAGAATGGATTGAGCAATGCTCTCATGAAATTGACCACTCTCTAGAAAGAGAGAAAGCGAATGTGCGGCCAATACTTGTCTTTTATTAACCGACGAAAAACAGGAGGAGGTTCTCAATTTGATATGTATTTGTTTTTTTTGTGTTTGACCACGCATAACTTTTTACAGAGTCCGATTGTGATGATACTTTTTTTATTGGATATATAGTATATCTTAAAATTTGTCCCATATACATTTGAAAAAAAAATCCACCCCTAAATTCGGAGAATATGAGATGATTGGTTTTTCACCCACTGAATTGTTAATTTTAATTTAAATTTATAAATGGAATGTAAATAAATTATAATATTATTGAAAGTTATAATATTATAATGGAATTTAAAATGCTTATAAATATCTATCTTCATTAATCGTATTTCAGTAATACAGAAGACTTTTGGCCGCACATTAGTTTTGTCTCTGTCGCGCTTTCCGCCATTTTTAGCTGACGACTGTCAAAGAAACACTCAATCCACTCTCTATGTCTATGGTAGATATTGAGTCTTATAAATATAAGTTATTTAATATAATTAAAGATAAGATCTCTTTTCATGATCTATTAAATATTCGAATGATGTTTTTTAATCTAGTTTTTGTGTACTTATATATTATATATATGTATTATATAGTATATTTGTTTAACCATATTATATGTTGACGCAAGATGGCCAATATTTAAAAAAAAAATTGAAATTTCAGTACATAATAGCAATAACTTATCTAAGGCATATTTTTTAAGAAATATGACACTACTTTTCTTTCAACAAAATGGTTCTTACTTAGTATTAAAGTAAACTCGAACAAACAAAAGTATAGGGTTACATTATGACTGTTAGGTCAGCTCTTCACCTATAGCTATGCGCTATATCTCACCAGTAAATATGGAACACAAATTAAAAAAAAATAACCCCCACATCACAGCTAATGGGGGGTCAGTAGGTCAGGTCAGTCAGCAGCATACTGGCATTACAAATAAAAACAATAATTAGTGTAGAAGTTAATAAATTGTCTGTGTGTGAAGTTAAAATATCAGAACTTTATAAGGTTAGAGAGCGTATATTCAAACTCACTATAATCCTATTACATATTATATAGAAGATTTAAATGAAAAACTAAAGGCAAAATGTTATTGACTTTATTATAGTGTAATTTCAATAAACTAACCTCAAATTTATAAACGAAAATATCAACTGTACTTAGCATAATAATTTTATAGTGAAAAGTACATAATTTTGAAGTGCCATTTTTAAAATGTAATATTTAAATATACACATGTATGTAATATATTTTTTGTTACAAAATATTTGAGACGAAATTAATTTTTTTCTCTAATTTATTATCTCTTTTGTTGTTCTTAGTCAATAGGTTGTTCATGTATGTTTTTAATAAATAATATGGTTAATTTATTTTTCTTTAGAATTACCTATAATATATGAATATACATAATCACATTTTTGTGTATGTTTAATTGTAAAATTGTAATACTTAAATCATGTTCGGGTATTGGATACCAATAGATATATAAATGAACAAAAATTATGTAAAAATTCTGCTTTAATCATATAAATTCATGTGAGAATTTTAATACTTTGTGTATTACGCGTGTTTTAAATGTCGCTTGCAAAGATTTGCGCCGCCATATTTAAAGTGATATGAATTTAAATGAATATGCGTGAAAAAATCTCATTTAAAAAATAACTATTCGAAATTCGCGCCATTTAGTTACAAAATGAGTCATTATTTTTCTTAAGACTAGTTTAATATGTTATTCACACAGAGCTGGCTTCAAGAGAATGCTTTCCTTTAAACGATCGCAACAAATATATCCTACTAATATTATAAATGTGAAAATTTACGAGGATACCTGTTTGCTACTCAATCACGCCAGTACGGCTAAACGGATCTGGATGAAATTTGGCACAGAAATAGATCATAGTCTGGAATAACACATATGCTACTTTTTATCCCCGAAAAACGAAAGTTTCCCGAGTGATAGATTTGTTTTTGTCTAGAGACTCGCTTTTACTGCGCTTCGGGTTCGTCCTTAGTATTACATTTTAATTATACATTTTTCAAAATAACCTTGTACCGTGTTTCTTGCAAGATAAGCGATTAGTAAATACATGAGAGTATTTCAATCGTGCCATTGTATGAACTTAATAATGCTTAAAAATAAATATATGTAGATATAAAATATGTTCATTAGTATTATCGATATCTGCTAGTCGATTGTGAATTCATGTACTCTAAAAAAATTAAGGTATAAACTTCCAAATAGCCCATACAACGCATTGAACAAATTTTCTCTAATCAACATCGTATCATCACTTTGCCAGCGTGGTGGACTATGACCTGATCCCCCTCGTATTGAAGGAAGGCCCGTGCCCAGCAGTGGGACGTTAAAAAGGGCTTTATACATTTCTTTCTAACATCAATATTGCAATAAACACGAAAACAAACAATTTGTTTCTTAGATGTGACCTTGAAAATTGAATATGTGGCCATTTTGCCTGTCATATTAGTAATAAACGTATCGAAATCCACATGTATATTAAAATTCAGATTAATTGGAGGTATAAGGCAGGGCTATTCGGAAGTACACGCAAATTAAGTGCCAAGGGATTTTGACCCTTCTTTTTAACTTAGTGTGGAGTTTTCGCACAAATTTTTCGATGTCGCTACATTCCTCTTTACGGAGTTATACATAGATTATATAATATTTTTAAAGTTTTATCAATTTATTACCAAAAATCAGAAAAATGTCTATGTATAGCTCTGTATTTTCAGTGTTGCCAGTTGCCAATAAATACGTGTTTAGAATTTTTCTTAGAATTTCAGAATTTAATATTATTTTTAATAAAATTTATGTTTTATCTTGATGGAAGATATCATGGTTTTATTGAATTTATTTGATGGCAGAAAAAATAGGTATAAAAATATCTATTTAGAAACTTATAAGAATTTATAAGTTATAGAATTATTAAAATATGTTATTAAATTTAAAAAAAAATTAAAAGACCTTATAATTCAAAAGATTCTTTATACAAAAAAAATGGACGAATATTTCAAAATCTGGTAACACTTGTGTCAAAGCTTTTGTGATAACCATTTTTAGTCCATAATATATATAATACTAATCTATTTATTCGACTTCTACTGTATTGTATTTTAATCTCATGAAGTGCAATTTCGTCGCCAATAGAGTAAGTTGTAAAAATGTATTTATTTAATTTATTGTGATGTGGCAATGACCATTTTGGAAAACCTTATTAGCTTAATATAGTTTTGTAAAATAAACAAGGTGTTTTATTTCCTTTATAAATCCTTTATATTAAACAAAAATTAATACTATAAGTCATGTTAGAGTTAATTTTTGAAAATCAAGAGCAGTTTTTATTATACTCGGACTTAGGAGTATAGACGGAGTGCCCTAGAACTAAACATGAAGCCAAAAAAAACGCTTTGACCAGGTTTTAAAAAAAGGTTTTATTTCAAGTGTTAAAAAAATTCTTCTTTTTCTAAGAAAACAAATAATTAAAAAATACAATTCGATATAGTATTGGACTTACTTAATACTTTTATTATTCATATATTTTCTCTTCAAAAAATTTATGAATACTATAAAAAAAAAATATTAAATAAAATTCCCGTGTTTTCTTATTTATTTAAAACATGATTTTACTAAATTGGCCATCGCTAGGGCGTGTGAAAATTGGGCTCGAAACCTTTCTAAATTTATTATTTTGTGGCTGATTTTCAAACCCGTATGTGGTGCGCCCAGTTTGTATGGGGAATGGTTTTTCTCTTTTGCTATTCTCATAATAATATTTCTTTATAATAACATTTTTCTTTCGGACCCCGTCTTTATAATTCTTTAATCTGTGTAAAAGCGCAATTTTTGTTCCTTTCTTTCTCAAAGTCCGGTGGGAAGATACTTCTACACTCGTTTTCCGTGATCTCCAAGGTATGGGGATATATACAGTTACGGGAGTATTCCACAAGTCCAGCCAAGTAAAATTAAGTAAAAATCAACGGTACACAGTAACGCCTTAAACATTAACGAATGACGAATTTCATTACGTCGTAAGACAAAATAGCGCTTTTTCCGCCCTTTTTCCACTCAAAATGACATTAAGAAAATTCAAATACCTAATATGTTTATAACAGAATGAGAACATAAAGAATCAAATAATTATTATACAATCAAACATATATCCTATTTTTATATTATCAATAACTTATGTACGATTTATATTATTATTAAAGTGTAACAATACCGACATGTTTCCAGAGAATTTCTTGACAGAAAAATGTAAATAAACAAACTAGATCCGGGAATCGAACCCAGGACCTCCGGATCTACAGTCGTATAAACTAGCCACTAGACTAACGAGCTATCAATTCGATTCAAGTTTTTGCCTTGTGGCGGTGTCGGTTAGGCACAGATTACTTCACCAATGAATGAGGTAGTCAAACCTGATACGCTCTATGATAAGACCGGTGTGGATATGGCAGGTGTGAGAGGTATCTAGATGTCTATTTGTCTTATAAACAACATGAAAAGCAAAATGAGATAAAACGATAAAAACGCGAGAAAATGTCTACTATTCCAGGGCATTCATCGCATCGATTGAACAGTTAATTTCCTGTTTTTGAAGTGAAAACTAGCCGCGTTGAGCGATTTTTGGTAGAGGAAAAACTTATGGGTTCGCGTCACCGACATGCTACGTGTGACATGTGACGTATCGACGCAGTCCCGCGCAGACTCGCGACGCGCAGTGTCATACGTTTGGATTAATAAATAAAATATATTATCAAAATGTAAATAATTATTGCTCGGAGTGCCAATGGATGGAAAATTAAAAAAAAACAATTATTCCAAAGTTATATGTTTTCATTTCTATCGGCAGTCCCCATGACTGTCTAATGCCTATTTTTTGCTTTTACTGGTTATTTTGTAAATAATAAAACAATAATAAAAATATTCATGCATTTTATTCTTAGGGACAAACAAAATATAACTAACAGTCTTCCCTCTTCTTTCTCATAGACAAGTCTATGGGCTCTTCTATGGTGTCGGTTTTGGGGTTATGGCAAATAAAACCATATAAAGGCACTGGAGAGGCCGCCACTTGGATGTTACAAGAAACTTGAGTGTGCCGTGTGTGCATTCTAAAATGAAAAGAAAATGCTTAGTAAGTTTAGGGTCATATGGAGATAATAAAAGATGGGACATAATACGATATCGTAATCTTTTTATCATTGTTGAGTAAGCAGGAGATTGTTATGAGTACACATAATGACCAGTAAATTCATTTTAATTTACTAAGTTATGATAGCTCAGCGAGTTCGGCTACAGTTTATATGTTACGTACTATGCGACACGAGTTCAAATCCCACGCGCGGTTTACTTTTCTTGATTTTGTTAATTTTTAGCTATTGTGTCGGTAAGTGTCTTTTTACTAAAGGAATGACATGAGATAGTGGATTGCGGTACAAGGAGCGAGCCGTGATGAACGTGTGCTCGGTGTCCACATCCTTAAGATTAAGTTTATGCAATTTGTGATTGTTTTGAAGATCGTAGTAAGAAATATTTATTTCGTTAAATTAAGTCATTGCCGTAACGAAATACGAAGTATATAAGTAAAATACCTTGGGAATAATTGTGCACAAAAGGGGTAAGTGTATCATATAAGTTCATTTGACCGTTAGGCACAGCATGATGCAATATTATCATATTATGTCTCAATATGTGTATTTTCTATTTGTAGCCTAACGTAACGCCCTTAAGGTGCTGGAATACAATCCCAATAAGAATCCCTGTAAACTGGGATAGCCGTGGCTAGGTTTTGGCAGAGTTCCACGCAAAGGCTGTGATCAGCTGTGCAGCCCCAAAAATCTCTCCTGGTGCCCTTCATATTCTTTAGATCTAAGTAGCATTATTATAATTTGTAAATAGCTAGGTTAAGTATTACTTGTAGTTAGTTTTATTAGTACCTATTAGTAAATTGTTATTTATGTAGCCTTAGAATCTAATATAGTGTTGTAAATTTGTACATTCTTTTATTTTAATAAGGGAACCCATAACAAGATATTTTTGTATTATAAATGTGAAGAGATCGAAATCGGTCACTTAGCTCGACGCGGGATTCGAACCCAAGACATGATCTGCTGTTCGCAAAATGTGACAGTTTTTTTTTTTGTTGGGACATTAACACACAGCGCCATCTAGTTCCATGGTAAGCTACGAGGCTTGTGTTATGGATACCAGATAGTTGACACACTATATAATATATATAACTTTAAATACATACATATTATAAATATAAACACCCATGACTAGAGTACACACATTCATGCCCATCACACAAATGAATGCCCCCAGCGGGACTCGAACCCGCGACCGCTGGCACTGCTGCTACTTGCTAAGTAGGTTCACTACAAACTGAGCCAAACGTGTCGTCCAGTACAGTATCTACATATATTTCACCATAGTTTTTGATTTGTAAATATTGCTTTGGTTTCAAACTTTCGTACGTGTACCCACAAAAAAAAATATCATCAATAAAATCTCCGCTAATACATGCATATTTCGTAATTTGCGAAAAAAACGCGCTAAGTTTGGGGCAGCTACAAAGTTTAACGATATCTTGAATGGATATATGAAATAGTAAAAAGCGATATATCTAAATGAGCTTTTGTTGAAAAGCGCAGAATCATTTCTTATCTTCAAAATTTAATGTAATAATGAAGGGATACGCAAACACAAGTGTACTTTTTGACTTAGGTAGAAAGATGAACATCACTAACTACCCTCGTCCTTCGACTTGCTACTGAGAGTTCCTTAACAGAAAATCCCAATAACTATACTTGGCCTGACCCGGGATTAGAACCCAGGTCTTTTGGATTAGCCAGGCGTATAAGCTAGCCCCTAAAGTCTAGACCAACGAGGCAGACACCTCTGTAATAATATCGTAAAGATAAATAGAAGGGGATCTGCCCCTAAAAGCTATACTTTGAATAGTTTAACTTGACCTGCCAAACCCGTAAAACGACAAAATAACCAAACAAATCTTCAAAAATATTAAAGCACCTAAAATGCCTATAAAGCATTGGGAGAACCAAGAAAATATGGGAATTTTTACTCACTTATATTTCCGGCAGGCATCTGCACGGTGCCTCTCTAGATACCGGTGTTGGCTGAACGCCTTCCCGCACTGCACACAGCGCCACTCCCACGCGTGGTGCCCGCGCGTGCGCTGGTGGGCGCGCAGGTTGGAACTAAAGAAAGCTTTTATATTACACTGCAGTAATATACTTAGTATCATATAATGAAGCGCTATATAAACCTCAATGGTTTTTAATGCAGGACAATCCCTACTGGATTCGCTAATCTATACATATAATAAAACTCTAGAAAAACAAAAACAAACATATCCTACGGGAACTGTACATTTTTCCGGGATGAAAAGTATCCGTTATATTAAAAGCCACTCAGTAGTTCTTGCGTGAAAGAGTAACAAATATCCATACATCTATACATCCAGACATTCGTACATCCTCACAAACTTTCGCATTTATAATAATGCTAGCATTGCCCGCGGCTCCACCCGCGTTCTGATGACCAAAAACCAAATTCTTAGGTTTTCACATATTAGTATACTCTTACATTGCAGTTGTTGTATTTTTTCTCAGAAATGAGACATTTCCCCGCGGTAAAAAGTATCCTATATGTTGACCCGGAATCCGCATAACCAGTTATCACCATACCAAATTTCATTAAAATCCCTTCAGTGTTTTTTTTGTGATGCGGTAACAGACGGACCGACAGACAAAAGTTCTAAAAACTATAGATTCGGGCTCGGTATCGATAATAATGTTTGTTTCAATAAGATTTTCCAAAAAATACTTATTTAATGTACAGATTTGACTCAGAATTTTATTATATGTATAGATTAACATTGTTAGCAGGATCAAGGTAATTACCGTTTTTTAAATACGGTTTTGTTTAAAATAATTTGTCTTAGTCGTAGAACCATATTCTAGGATTGCTACAATTTGTTTTGTTTAACGATAATGATAACGAATTTCAGTATCTAAATGAAGCCGATCGTTAAAATATTTTACAGATAGTTGCTTGTAAAATTCTTGAAACACTATACTTATGTAAGTTTCATTAATCTCATAATGTGAAGTGTTCTTGTGCCTATCTATATATAAATAAAAATGAATATTTGTATGTTTGTTCTCTATGAGTTCTTAAACATTGGTCCAATTGTGATGAAACTCTGGTGAGTTATTCTTTATACTATAAATAAAAACAAATCTATCCCACAGAAACCGTACATTTATCCGAGATAAAAAGTAGCCTATTTCTTATTCCGATGTATGAACTATATTATTGTAAGGTTTCATTAAAATCCAATCAGTAGTTTTTGTGTACTAAGCTGTATAAGTTACTATAGTTTTTTAACGGGATCTCTTTCATTTTCCAAGATGAAAAGTGTCAAAAATGTTGACCGGGAATATAAGTTTCGGAGATTAGCCCGTACAAACAGACAGAAATAAAAAAATTCAAAAAATCTGTTTTTTTTTCTATTTCTCTTCTTACGTCCCCCTGACTCGGTTTTTAGCATTTTTTGTATGTACAGACATTCAACCTCTATAGTTTTATTATATATATATATATATATATATATATATATATATATATATATATATATATATATATATATATATATATATATATACGTCTGGGAAGGTTTCTGGCTCAAAAATTCTTTGAACGTTTGTCTTGTATGTGTTCCTAAACAATTCAAGCTTTGGGACGTACCCAAGGTTGAGTCGGTAGTAATAAATAAAAAGTTGGCTTAATTAGTTTCATCAATCACCATTCACCTTCCCATACAATCAACTAGTTAATAGATGTACCTACAAATTGTAATACTTATATGTACATTGTACACATTATGTTTAATGGGCATACTGTAAAGTAAGTGTAGTCTGGTCGAGAGTTCGATTCTCTATTTTTAACCCCCGACGCAAAAAGAGGGGTGTTATAAGTTTGACGTCGATGTCTGGCTGTGTGTGTGTGTGAGTGTGTGTCTGTCTGTGGCATCGTAGCTCTCAAACGGATGGACCGATTTCGATACCATTTTTTTATTTGAAAACCAGTTTTCTTGCGGTGGTTCTTAGCTATGTTTGGTTAATATCGGTCCAGCAGCGTAAGAGTATCAGCTCTTTTCCAAAAAGATGTAAGGTATTTTGGCGCATGATTACTCGATTAAATGCTTCACGCGTGCCAGTGTAATCGATATATGACAATTAATTTGCGTAGGGGGCTTTTTAAATTTTTAATATAACAGTTTTCAGTTATGATAAAATACTTTCTTAAAAGCGATTATTTGACATTTTAAATAAAACTATCTTTTCGGATTATTTCGCAGATTTATTTTGATTTTTGGTTCCCGACGTTTCCCGGCAAAAGCAAAATGTTATGCAGCAAATAAATAAAAAACGTTTATAGAGTAAAATCGATGTGTTACTAAAATATAAAATATTATTTTTAGGCTTGATAGGTATCTTTTTATAGCATTACTAGCAGAACCCGCGGCTTCGCCCGCACTAGAACGACAAAAAAAAAACTCTGAAAAGGTAGGTTTCATACAAATTTTCATGCCCTCTTTTACCCCCTTATGGGATGAATTTTGAAAAATGCTCAAACACGTATTTATTAATTTAAATCGAAGAATATTAATACTAAGTTTCAAGTAATTCTGATCACAAATATTTTTTGGGTTGTATTAAAACGTGTGATATGATCTCCCGCGGTAAAAAGTAGCCTATGTCACTTCTCTAACCCTTCAACTATCTCCACACAAAAAATCACGTCAATCCATAATTCCGTTTCGACGTGAAAGAAGGACAAACAAACAAACACACTTTCACATTTATAATATTAAAAATTATTATAAATATTATATTATTATAAAGCTGAAACTACCACTAAAATATATTTTATTTACAATCTACTCACCGATCAGCAAAGGTCCGCCCACAGTGTGGGTGAGGGCATGGAAACGGTCGCTCCCCAGTGTGCAGACGCAAGTGCCCTTTGAGTACCCATGGCCTGTCGAACCCTTTGCCGCAGTACGAGCAGATGTGGTTGGGACGTGGACGAGGTTCCCACTCACGAGGTTTTATATCTTCAATGATGGGCGCTTGGAGGAGAGATTTTAGTTTATTAAGGTTTTTATTGATATATCTTAAGATATGTTATGATAGATATAAAAATGGAATAGAATTCAATAAAAATGGATTCAGCGAAATTTGTTACAATATTTTTTATGTAATCGCGAGGTATCGATGTAGTCACAAATATTCCTTAAGCCCCTTCGTAACTTGGCGGTGCAGTATCGGTGCAGTAAGTGCGCTCGGTAACATTCTTACCGATTCTTTACCGAGCGCCTATATTTGAATGCACACTTTCTGATTGGCAGGGCAGCCAGTTGATACCGAGCGCAAAAGTCCATGACTTTTTCCAGTTTTTGCAAGATTCAATTGTTTTATACAGAAAGCATACCGACAGTATACCGATAAGTGAGGAGATCTGGCCGACATCAGAAACTCTCGGTAACGTAGAAAATACCGCATACAAATACCGCACTGCCAAGTCAAGAAGGAGCCTTAAGGTGGATTTACCATCGCAATATAATAGTATACCTACATCTACACTTATAAATGAAATTAAAAAAATACATGTCTGTGATTTCAAAAGTACCTTACATTTTAAGCTTATTTAATTGTGAAATTAATTGACACCTTTTTTATCTGTTTTTTACAAGCAAATTTCCGGAATCGATTTCAACGAGTCGGTTTGTTATATACTTAACAAAATATATATAATATACATATCTTATGCCACAAACATATACAGTATTACTTTTCCTTCCATTAAACTCTCACGTTAACCACCAAACCTTGCAATTATACAAATTGTACCAGCAACGACGATTGTCTCACACAAAAGTCAAACTCGCGACCTTCAATTAGTCTCCCGAAATATTTCGTTAGAGAAAAGTATAAAATGTAACGCCTGTTATAAATTAAAGAGCAAGTTGAGGAAATCTCTTATTAAGTTAACGTTTATTATTCACAAGGCGGCAATTCTTGTAAGATTTTGGTTGAAACTTAATTTATTTATGCCTTGCTTTTCTTATTTATTATCGCGGCAGATCCCAAAATTTTATTGCTTACCGTTGACTAATAAAAGTTTCAGGATTTTTATAGTTTACTAGCGACTCACCCTCGCTCCGTTCGGGTTCGTCCCTAGTTACGTTTTAACGTTTAATATAGATTTCTCAGAGATGAGATATTTTCCCGCGGTAAAAAGTACCCTATATGTTGACCCGGATAACCAGCTATCATCGTACCAAATTTTATCAAAATTCCTCCAGTGGTTTTCTGTGATGCGGTCCCAGACAGACAGACAGATAAAAATTCTAAAAACTATATATTCAGCCTCTGTATCGATAATAATAAGAATATCAATAAGATTTTCCAGAAAATATTGAATGTACTGATTCGACTCAGAATTTTATTTTATTATGTATAGATGTATACAAGGCATGACGTGCAGTACTTGCTTGTTTTCTTTTTTATTTCCTATAACCTTATATGTCTATGGAAATATATTATCTAATCTAAATTAACTGATCGAAATGTTTGTAAGCATTATATGTACCTATAGCAAATGCACAAACATAGATTCAGCAAATTATTTTATAAAAAAATCCCTTCAAAAAATAAGAATAACTTACAGTTGAAACTGATTAAAAACATGGGAAAGGAAGAACAGGGATGCAAGGGGTTTGGCTAACTTTAGAAAGCGTTACAAGTTTCGTATACCTTGAACTTATACGCATCCAACAATGGTTTTTCAATGAAAACAAATAATAATGTCGTCCTAACCGATGTCGGCCATGGCGGCCAATCTCATTGAAACCAGCTACTAACTAGATTTTTCGGGATAAAAAAATGGGAGCTGCCTGAAAAATTAGAATTTCTGGAAAAACTTAAACTTCTTTTTCCGGGAATTCCAGGTTCAGTGACGATTTTCATGTTAATTTAAGAATTCCAAGACAATGTTTATATATTTTTTGTATAAATTGTTTTTACACGAGAGAAATAGACGTTTAACTTATTAATATTGACCACATAGACGATGTCAATCCAAAACCAGGAAGCAACGTCCAGCGTCGTAATTAATCAGTTGCTTTTCATTTCTGTAATAATCCATCTCCAAGCAAAAATTTATTAACGCTAACTATTTTTACGATTTATTTTATTGAATAATTGAATAAATATTGTTATATAATATCTTATTTTGTAATTTATTTCATACTAAAATTTTCCCTCTAAAAAATGAATCTAGGTACATTCTCTTGGTACAAGTCTAAAATTACCAGTTTGGAAGGAAAATATCTCAATCCTGAGAAAAACTGGCAAATGAAATTGTGAGGAAAGAATGTTGAAAAGCCACTTACGCATAGTAGAGCTTTCGCATTTTATTAGATTACTTAAAACTATCAAAAACTCATAATATTATCCATAAAAGTAGATAGAAATGAAAACAATTTTAAAACTCGCACGAATTTTCCAAAATTTGCCTTTAATTCTCTCTACTATAGAAGCAGAGTATACATATTCAATGGATACGATTTAAAAAAAATGCAACATACATACATGAAAGTGGAAGCAATATAGACTAAACATATAATATATAAGTTTATAAATTACATAGAAAAAAACAATAAAACATACCATTTTCTTTCTCGCATTCAACAATCACATCTAAATTCACGATATCATCGTTTTTCTCATCAAAAGATTCTTTACAAAACAACAGTTCTCTATGAAGCTTCTCATCAGCGTTATTTTTGACAAAACTCTTTAATTTCTCCGCTATTTTATCAATTTCTAATCCTTTATTAAGCTTAAAAGTTTCTTTACTTTTTATTTCTTCAATAATTGGAGCGAGAGGTTCTTTTTTATCTTTCTTAAGTTTATCTAGAAAATGTTGTTTGGTATTTTGTTTTTTCTTCCTAGGCTTATTATCTGTGAAAACTTTACGCTCAGTCTTGGCTTCGTTCGATCGTAAATTGTAAACTTTTTCATTATCCCGTTTGGAAAGATTTTTCTTACTTTCCGGAGAGTTCGACGGTTTTTCACTTTCAGAAGCGTAGTCATAATTCTCCGTATCAATAAAATGTTGTACAAACTGACTCTTTTTTAGTAGTTGAAGGTAAAAACGCGTTGATATAGGTACTTTATCGTGGTATATAGTTTCATTTAATTTTAATAGGTTCTTTTGCTTTTTATTTAGAGCTTTCGGACCGCGTGTCGGCCTTATGTCTTCTGAAAAGTATGCTTTGTGCTATACTAAATGAGCTGTTTTTACTCTATGTAAAGGTCTACAATTTAAACATTATAAAATCTGTTAGATAAGAATTTATATCATATAAATATTCTAAATAAAAATGATTCTAAAGTAAAGAAAATAACTTCTATAAACTGGATAAAGTCAACGTAATGGTATAGAGAATGCTTTATCAAGATGAAACTTTAGTTAACCGAGTAACAAGGGAAAACCAAGTTATATTACTACAACAATCGATATTAAATATGGTGCCATCTTATTCTATGTACGTTATGTACAATCTACATTAAACATATGTATATATAAATAAATCAATTGATTATTATACATAATGCGCGTTGTTACATAAAACTTATACTAATTATTAATAAAATAACGATTTTCTATTTAATAATAATGATACTAGTTTATTTAATTATTTAATTACTATGTAAATGATAGAAAAATATTAATGAAATTATAAGTTTACACATCATTTTACATATTTAAAGTAAGAAAAAACCTGGTTCATGTATCAAAGATCCTTTGTAAGGTCTCACAGAGCTTAAATAACACTTAGGCATTATCAGAATATCTAATTTTTAGAATGTTAAAAACCTCTTATATTTATATCATATTCTAACACTACAATATACTACAGTAAGGCACTTGTTGAGATTCGACAGATAGAAACAAGGAAAAATAGATTTTTATTTTTAAGAATTCCAAATTTAAACGGTGGCGGCGTCTCCTGCCAGTGCCACAGATGATTTATGGTGTTTCATTTTAAAGCTCCCCCTACACATATAGCTCATGTCGCATTATAATGTATAAATTTTCTTATTTTACGATGTATAACGGCGTTTTCATAAAATTTAAATATACAAATATTATTATCACATAAAAATATTTGATATTAAAAATTATAGTTAATATATTTTTTTAATACATAATACCTTGAAATCTTACATTTAAAACAACAAAGTATTTAGGTCATAGTATGTTTTGTGATTACAGCGTTACATTACGAAACAAATCGTAAGTGTAGTATAATGAATGAAGGTCAGCACATTATTTTGTAATTGTTAAAAACATAAAAGCTAGCCCTAAAGCTTTCAACGATTAAACGTGAAAAGCGTGGAAATGACGCGCGGACATCTGGGAGAGGGGAAACCAGGGTTGCCCACGCGATTCTTTCACCCATATTCATGGTAGAGTTTTGGAATAATGATATTTTTCTACATGAATCTTAGGAATTATATTATGTGTTTTATTATTTATGGTAAAGTTATTAAACATATTTTGCTGTCTCAATCTAAAGTTAAATATTAATTATTAAATTTTCAAACTGCAGCCTATAATAAAGAGAATACATATGAGGACAATATTTATTTATGTAATAGAAAATATTATGTAATAGTAATATAAGGCTTAAATTAATTATAAATATATAAAAAATACATTTAGGGACATGATTTCGAGAGCTGGTAACCCAGAGGGGAAATCGCATCGATTATTCGTGTTCAAGAACACGGCGTGGTCGGACGTGTTGCGTCCTCGTACGATCGCTACCGGGTGATGCCAAACAATGATAATATTTAAGCGTTTGTTTTCTTAAAATACACTGTGTATAGTGTTTTTAGCAACTTATGTAGTGGTGATATAGTGGTATACAGCCATGGGCAACTCCTGTAGCTCAGGCCAAGCGCACAAGGATAAGGATAGCATCTCCCAACACTCTGAAGAGTGAGTATCCCAGCCTAAAAATCGCTAAGTAATTATAAATGTAAAAAATATTCTCATACTAATTGGCCGTTGCCGAGATAAGCGCAGATGTGATCAAAATTAATCAATACATTGACATCGCCTGCCTACAGGTTGTCCAAATGATTTATTATAAAGAACATTATTTACGTATTTCAAACAAAATTATTGTTTTATGAGGTATAATATATAAAATAAAAATTTTCTTTATTTTTCATTAAATAAATCAAAAGTAGATTTTGCTGATTTGCTGAAAGGGTGTGTAAATATTTTAATTTTTCTACTACAACACAAAGTGTAGTGTCTGGGTGTACGTAGAGGTGGTTGATGTTTTTTTTATATTGTGTTCATATTAACTTTAAAAGAACGGAAATGTAGAGTTGATATAGTTTTCGAAAATTCAGATTAATTATTTTCTTTTCTTTAGGACAAGATTAAGATTTTATTATTATACTAAGAAATGCCTATGGTTTCGCTCATTTAAGAGAGTGTGGATATTGAATTGCTCAAAATGTAAAAAAAAACTTTTTTTACATTAAAATTATAAAAGAAAAAAGTTTAATATTTACATAAGTTTAAAAAGTTTTACAAAAAAGTTATGAAGTGAAGAATAAAACTTTGTACCTACCAGTTTTATCCGCAGTTTCGCTCGTGGTGGGTACGTTGATAGGAAGTTTAGGATGTTTAAGCGAAAGGAAAGACAAACACAAATTTTGTATTTCTAATATCAATGGATTTTCAAGGACTTGTTTCAGGAAGATGATTTAGAGAAAGTAAAAGCTTAATCAGCATTTTTAAGATATCTAATCTAATATATAAAATTCTCGTGTCATGAAATCGGCTACTATCTATTTTTCATATTGCTATAAAGAAATCTATTTTGTGACATAAACGGTTAAAGAAAAGATATTTTCGACTTGATCAACAATTATATCGGTTTTTATTATTATTATATCGGTAAATGTTTTCAAACAATAACCATTAACCTTTCTAGAAAATCCCTCTTTCTATTGGCGAAAACCGAATGAAAATCTGTTCAGTCATCAGTAGTTTCTGAGACTAACCCGAACAAATATATAGTGATATAATATAAGATTGATTTTACTGGAAACGAGTTCTCTTGATTTATAGAACTATTTAAAACAAACATCAAGGAAAACTTGCAGAAGAGATTTGAAATCGTAAATTATAACTATAAGGTATTATATCGATTTTGCTTATAAAAACAAAAAGTATTTAAAATATTGTCAGTTTTTTTAATTTTTCATAACTCAAAAATAATATTTTGTAGAGAAACGGTGTTCTAGTTACTCTTGTTACGTTTCAAGAACCTATACGGTAATAACTTAAAGGAAGATAATAATGACATTACAGAGGGCGAAGGAACATGTAGGGTCGCGACTCGCCTGTCATAGACAACTTATTTAAGACCCACCTTCAGTCTTATAACTATTAACGAGGTTTCTGTTGGTTTATTCCGTTATTTAGGGTATCTTTGGCACTAATAAACTGATTTTAGAAGTTTTTTACTAATAACAAAACATAGCTAGGAACCACCACAAGGAAACTGGCTTTCAAATGAAACAAAACCGGATTGAAATCGGTCCATCCGTTTGAGAGCTACGACGACACAGTCAGACACACATACACACACACAGACAGACGTCGATGTCAAACTTATTACACCCCTCTCTTTGCGTCGGGGGTTAATAAAAAGCACTGAAATAGGAGCGAAAACTAGTATGTTGTAACATGAGTGACTTGTAATGAATGAATTTCATAGAGATTGTGGGGGTGAGATGTTTATAGTTGTATTTACTAGAGATAGTAATTTGACATAATTTATATGGAATTTACGTCGAATGCCTATCTATAATAAAGAAAATCACAGATATATAGATTACTAGCATTGCCCGCGGCTCCGGCCGCGTTCAAATGACCAAAAACCAATTTCTTAGGTTTTACATATTAGTATACTCTTACATTGCAGTTTTGGTATTTTTTCTTAGAAAAAAGCGGTAAAAAGTATCCTATATGTTGACCCGGATAACCAGCTATCACCATACCAAATTTCATCAAAATCCCTTAAGTGGTTTTTCTGTGATGTGGTAACAGACAGACAAACAGACAGACAAAAATTCTAAAAACTATAGGTTCGTCCTCTGTATCGATAATAATGTCTATTTCAATAAGATTTTCCAAAAAATATTTAATGTACAGATTCGGCTTAGTTACAATTTTATTATATGTATAGATTGAGATCATCCGTCAGGCTCGTTTATATAAAGTTCGTTCGTAAAGTGATCTCTACGGAATATTAGTCATTTAAAAAAAACTACTTAGAAACACTATTTTTCTATTATTGCCCCCATTCGCAATTTAAAAAAAAACTGTTATCTCTTAATGCTAAAATACGGCTTAACCTACTTTTTTGAATGGAAGAGTAAAAACTAAAGTTAAAGTACAAAGTTCCAGGTCAACTTGCGCTCTGGTTAATTCATATTTTATTTTGTACAATCTGAATTATAAGTAATTGTGATTAAAATCTCCATTTATACTGTGCATTTGAATTAAAACACTTGTATTAATGACTCTATCTAAAGAAGTATAAAGCTGAGCCTAAGAATATGTTTTTTTTAATAATTGTATCGGTAATGGCTTCACATTTTAAAAAAGTATACAATTTATAGAAAATACATAGATGCATGAGGTAACAAATAATAGTGACCTAGAGTAATATTGTTAGTACCAAAAACAAACTAAGCGAAACTTTTTTTTGTTTACGCTGGGGATACCCATAGGGCCTGCCGGCCCTATATACCCTGCCGGCTATCGGTGGGCAGGCTACTGTGAGACTTCTACTCACTAAAACTCACAGGAGAACAATATCGTGGCAGTGCAATAGGGCGTTTCAAGATAGCTCGCGCACACACTAGAACACCCCTGGAAAACCCTAACCATGCGGGCCACCTCACCTACACTAGTAGGCTTTAGGTTCGTAAAGCATTCCTATTGGCCCGATGACACAAAGAAAGATCGTCTGATTCTCCCGCAGAAGCTCTTCTAGGGCGAGAGAAGATGACAATACCGACTCCTTCTCTCATCCAGCTGAGGGCGACGAAGAGGTTCTGCTATGGCGTGAGCATCACGTTCCATCTCCGCCGTCTCCTTCCGAGAGATGATGGCCTCGCAGAAGTAAACCAAGCAGGACCTCGCGTCGTGTATTATGTCCCCCACCACGAGATAATTTAACGAGAGACCTCAACCCTGTACCGTTATCAGGACATGGCGTTGGGGAGTGTGGTGTAAGTCCTCGGAGGCACCTCACTCTTGGCATGCAGTCGACGGTTCCTCACGGGCAACTTCTCACAAGTACTTCCCAAAGCAATTATGCCTGGTTAGTACCTGCGCTAGCCTGAAGGTCGGGATGCCGTTTGGTCTCCTTATCCATCAAGAAAGTTGGGGGCGGACTGCCTCCACCATCGCCAGACTAGCTGCCTGAGTCCTTAAATCATCCTCCCAGCGTCGGATTAGGGCCTTCTCAGTCAGGTGTCTAATGGAGCGACACCATCTCACACCAGAAGTTCTCCGTTCACCCGTTGTGTCTGTCTGGAAGGCATCCTAGAATCGAACCTACACCATTCAGTACGCCAAATCACTGGCAAGATGCCACTGAGTCATTGCACTCTTTAAATAGCATTTAATTTACGTAAGATTCTAATAAACAATGTGGACAAGACTGAGTGAATCATAAATGTGTTTATTCTAAGTGTCGACCACTTAATTACTTATGCATGAAATACAATTTATTGTCTAGTTA